AAGCTCCCACCTTCTCAGCCCCTAAATCCAACCTACCAATACACAAGCCATAGCCCCCCTCCACCCATTTCCCTGACTCAGAAGCTACAGTCCCCCCAGCCCTGCCAGTGCACCTCACCCCTAGTCCACAGGCCCCTGCGCGCCGTAGCCCTGACCCTGCAAGCACAAGCACCAGCTCCAGTGCTCTTGGGCCAGCCACACAGCTCCCTGCTGCTTCTTCCCCACCCCTCCACCTTCCGCTGCCGGAGGGGCGTGCATCTGAGCATGTGCCTCCCCCACCCTGCTGCAACCCCAGACCTGCCGCCCCACCACACACACACACAGATACACAAAACCCCCACCCCCAACAAATGTACCTGCATCCAACTGCTGGGCTCCTCCCACCCCCTGCCTGGCCCCATGGTGACCATGTGTGTGTGTGCCCTCCAAGCGCCCTATAACCTTACTCAAATGTGTTCTCCCAGAAGTCAAGGAATGCTGTTGTTTGTTGGAGAACCAGGATCATATGGGAGTTAATACCTCTGACAGAATATTCTGAGAAAAAAATCCTGTTTAATACCTGCAATTGTCATGGATCTTTTAGTAAATTCTGAGACAGGTTAAACTCCAGCCATATGTATTTGTGTAATCAAGTCCCTTCACAATACTGCTTAGGGACAGACAGGCATGCCACACAGTTTTGTGTGAAATAGTCCTGCTGAAATGAATTTCTTGCTAGTCTATGAAAGCAGCAATAGGGCCTAACTAAATATGGCTTCCTTCTTTCTTCTCCAACTGAATTCAATAGTTAAATTTCAACTGACTTCAATAGGAGTGGGAACAGAAGAAAGTAAAGTAGTAAACCTTTACAAAGGAAGCAAACTTGGCTTATATTAATTTCTCTCAAGTGAGCAGGCAATGTAATTGTTAGAAATAACAACTCAGAAATAACCATTTGGAAGTACTCCAAATATTTTGTACCTTTCTGCAGGTTATATATAAACCTGGGGATGGTAGGGACTTTCTAGAGAAAAATTCAAAATAATAAAATCAGTTTGAGATGTTATATTTTATTTTGGGATTTAAATTTAAAAAAATCTTATTAGTGGAGACCCATGAGAACATGGGGGGTGGGGGGGACAGGGGGGAGAAAAAGGGTGAGGGTGTGAAAAACGTTTAAAAAGACAATGAAATATGTGCAGTTAACCTTTGATCAAAGACTGTGAAAGCTCAGTTTCATGATGTTTTCTGAGAAATTACAGTACTTGACATGTACACACATACAATTTTATTCCTTAGGTTAAATGACTTTAATACTGAATTTTACAAATGTTGTGGAGACAAAGCTGTGCCATGCTTTGATGTATCTCTTTGTTATAATAAATTCCCTGAATTCATTTAGGTGACCTTGATTTCTTTAATCTGTCAAGAGGGCAGAGCTATATATTTTTTTCCTTTTAGATATGGAAAATCTCAGTTTTGCATGATACTTTTCAGCTGAGAATTGATAGAAAACTGATAGGGATATTTTAGAGTAGTTGATGGCCTTTTCTGCCTTAAGACTAGGATTTTCTACTTCTGTTCCTTAACAGTAAGATTTTATTAGACAGCATACTGGAGGAAGGCCAGCTCAGGAAATATTTGGAAGAGATGTTTTTGTCATTTTCTCCAATGTGCTTTTTCCTTCTAGACCCAGAATTATTTTTGTAGGAAACCCTCCCCAGGTATAAAGATCTCCTTCCTCTACCATCATGCAATATGAAGCAGTTTTCTCCAAATTATGATGATATTTTGCCATAGTAGAGTTTTGCTGAAGAGCATTAATACAATCAATTATTCACCTAGATATATACACTCAAGGCACGACAGACACTTTTCCCATGCCAGGTCAGTTATGGAAAAAGCAGCCATAATGTGATTGCAGCCTTAAATATTGGAAAGACTTATCAATGGTTATCCACTGGAATTTATTCGTAATGTCAATACACAGTTACGCCAGTCCTGTGTGGAGTCAAGTAAGTACAGACTAATACTATGCATATTAAACACCTAAGAATGTTTATTGTGACACCTGTCCTGAGTACAGTTCAGTATTATGCCCGCCTCTCCACTTTGTAGTCGCCATTCCTTTAGTTATTGCTCTCCCTCTTCCCACTCCTAGAAGAAAGAGTGCATCAAACCTTTAAACAGTTATATATGGTGGGAAAAAATAGTTATTACCTGTGAACAGCAGAGATTTTCACATGAAAGTTCACTTTTTGATGTCAGTTTACAAAATGTGCAATTCGGGCTCTGAATCCTAATCTGTGAAAGTCTTTAAGTATTTGCTTAAATCTCATCTATGTCACTGGGCTTTAACCCAAGCTTAAAGTTAAGATATACCCAAGCACTTTCCTGCATCAGGACCCCAGTAACTAATCCACCCCATGCCACAGTTTGCAAGAAACTGATGATTCTTCAGACAGATCTTAAGGCTGTGGTCATTTTCCTTCTTAATGAACCAGTCATATCATTGTCATCCATGCTACCAAAGATAGAGCACAAAAATCTCTGGGGAAGTTATGATGCTCTTGTGAATTTCTGTCAAACGTTCTTGGACATGACATCTAAAATGATCATCTGTGTAGGTAAAATATGCATATTACTACCTGTGCTAATTATACACAAAATGTATATGCTAGTACATGTCAAAAATCAAGGCCTTATTAATATAGACAGACAAAAAGCCACAAGTTCAAGGGAGTTCAAATTTTAAAGTAAGGTGTTAATTGAAAAACCAATTAACCACTGTTTAAAACACAACTTCCAAAATATTGTGAATACAAGAATCATGAAGACTTTTCCTAGTTAAAACTGTCAAGCTGACTGCACTTTAATTTGTTCACATGACACGTTAATATTGTCATATGACAGTACCACAATGCTCCATATTTTTTAAGAACTATAGCAAATTGAGACCCTTAAGCACTCTCAAAAATAGCTTTCTGTAACACTCTTGTTTCAGAGTTTGTGGAACACCACTTCATAATTGCTTGCAGATACCTGACCTTAGAAAGTGCACTTTAGAGCATTTATGATGTGTTATATAACAGAGTACAGATCTGCCAAGCCTCAGTTTCACTGAATCATATGATCTTAGTAGGGAATTCCAGGAGCTGAACGTTCAAATCATTTTCTCTCTCCATTTATGCAGTTACCCAGTCCTATTGTGATCATTATCAAGATGTTATAGAATGGTAATCAGCTTTCAAAGACAAGAGAAAGGAAAGATAGTTGGAACAATCAAAGATGGACATTTTACTTTGGATTCCATTTTTTTAAACAGTAAATACAAACAAATGCTGTAGGAAGACCAGCACAGGAAAATATTCCAAAAGGTAACACCTTCTAATAGCACACAAATGTTTTATGCATATATAGTATATTTCATCCGGGCTTCTCAAAGCACTGACCAAATATTAATATAATGCCAGATTCTGCCATCTTAATGTATGTTGAGTTGTATTACTCTGTGAGGAGTCCTACTGAATTTAGTGGGGCAATCTGAAGAGTAATTTACACTTTAGGTTGAGTAAAGAAACCAAATCCTAAACCTAAAAACACTTTGGTATATCAGTATTACATAGGGAAGTGGTGGAACAAAGGCGAAACTGATCTGCTTTGTGTAACAAGAATCTGTTCTCATGTAGTACCCAAGTAATCCTGGTTTCTAGTCTAAGCTCCTAACCACCATTCCAAACTTCCTCCCACAGAAAAGTTGCACTGTAGGGAAAAAAATTATAACCTGAAGATCCTGCACAATACCTTGAGTTAAAGGTGAGGAACAGGAGTGCACAAAATAATCCTACTGATAAAATAAATTATCCTGTACAGTCACAGTATAGCAAACTTAATATAGCTCACTCAAATTGTCCCAGGGACTAAAATAACATGCGACAAAATGTAGAAAGAGGGGCTTGAGTCACAAAGTTTGGATTTGATGTTGAACATTCCCAAGAGTTGGCGGACTTTTCAGTACAAGAGTCAGGTCTGAAATATGACGTACGGAGCTCAATTTCAGTGAGGGGGGAATTGGGATTAGCTGACTGTTGATAAACTAATGGACAGATTCTATTCCACCTGTTAGGTGTGTAAGTGGGCTTACACTCCGAAGTGTGATTCTTATTCTACTCTGCTCAGATCCCTGTAAATATGTTAACTTTTTTGGCTCACACCATCATCTTACCCTTGAAGATAAAGCAATGATCAAGGACAGCACCCATCCCCCATTTGCATTAATTGTTTTTTAGGACTCAAGCAGAGTAGAACAGGTTCACACTCAGGTATAGGAAGAGCACTTAAATGTCTTTTTAGAAATAGGCAATCATTCCTCTTCACTTGCAGCGTATGAACAGTCATGGAAAGTATTAGTTAATTTACCTTCCAGCTTTTTTCTTTGTTAATATGTGTTTAGATTTTGGCTAGTGCCTTGCAATCAGAAAATATTGTTAAAAATTGCATAAGGAGCTTCATAACAAGACATTCCTTCCTAATGAAACATGATCTTGGGTTTTCTACCTTAGAAAGTAGAGTACTAGAGCAGGAAGGGGGAAGAGGGGTGGGGAAGGAGGCAATGCTATCATCTCATATAGAAGCTTTTGCAGCTGGAATGAGGTCAGGAGCATGTTCTCAGAGACTACGGTTCCATGATAATTAAACGGAGATTGGAGAACACCTAAATGCTCTAAATTTAGTGGTGTTTAAACTAGAAATAAATTATTTGGGTCAAATTAATTTATTCCCTCCCCTATACCTGATTATGTTCATGAACAGTCATAACCTAGTGTTATGCTCAGAATGAAATATCCAGATTTATCTGTACTTCATGACTCAAACTGCTACTACTGGACAAATCAATCTTTTAATTGCAGTAGTCATTTTTTAAAAAAAACAGCCCCTTTCTATTTCTATATAGTTACATGAATTTTTTAGAAGTGTCGTACATACAATAGCTCCCCTAGTGTGACAGTTTAGTGGGAAAGCGCAATTACAAAATTTTACATTACAGTAATTTCTCCATTATGGGATAATTATTTACATTTAAGTGAAACAGCTTCACACAGTTATTCATAAATCAAAAATAGAATTCTTCTGGTTTAATATTTAAAAGCTGTTGAGGTGCAAGGTCATATGTCAGCTGTGATGGCCATAAACCTGAAGATTAGCAGCATTCTCTGATGATTTCAGTGTTCTTTCAAATGATGAGTGAACATTATTTCTGCTGTTCAGGGGAGTGCTTGACGTTTGATTTTCAAACCAGTTTAACCATATGAAAAAGGGTTAATTTTTCCATGAAAGAGAACTCTGAGCTAACTCTTTTGGGCAAAACTACCTCTGGGTTACAATAAGAAGTTAGTTGAGTTGAAGCTGCTGAATTAACCTTGAGTTTTCTCTAGAACAAGGAACATTGCTCAGTAAGTTTGTGAAGCACAGCAAGCGGTGGAGCCCTGAAGCATCAAGAAAAGGTAAATATTTAGTTATTATTAAAGGCTCCTCTTTTTTTTGGATTTATACCAAAGATTTACAATATATAGTAACACAGTTCCAAAAAAGCACAAATAAGATATGTGCTTGTGCTGGGTGAAATCCTGATCTGATTGAAATGAGTGAAAAAACTCCCATTGATTTCAAGGGTTTTTCCCATAGTCTTGCTCACTGGAACAACCCCATCCTATTTCTGAAAACTGGTTCCTTAGAGCTTTCAAGAAACGCATGTTAAAATGATACCTCGAAAATCTTTCCCTGTTATTACAAAGCTCTTTCAGAGAGACTTAAGTCTGGAAGGTGAAGTTGGCTCCCACAGGCTCAATAAGCTGGAGACAGAATGATCTCAGTAAATGCTTCAGGCAATTTAAAAGTCCTTTGTAACATTTATACGGCTGCCCATATAAATAACATTGTGTCAATACTATCAGTAATTAGAAGTAACCCAAATAAACTGCAAAGAGGAAATGAGGCATAATAGCTCATCAAACCACATGGTTTCAGAATCCACCAGTTTGACCAGAATCTGAACTCTTACATTAAGATTGTACCATTTTATAAAATGTAATTTTTAAAAAAAGAACAAATACTTGAGACATTGTATTAGATAGGAAAAAAATCCATTCCATGTATTTGTTTTCTTCCCTCCCCACCCCTGCCTCCACTTTCATATGCTGAGAAATCCAGATATAGTATTTTACAGCCTGCAGTACCTCCAGGGTCTCCTGGCAGTGTTACAATATATAATCACCATCTCAGGAAAAAATAGTGAATGCATTTGAAGAAAAACACATTTATAATTTAGCCTGTAGTGTCTTGCACAGTTCAAAATATTAAGTTAAACTAATGACAGAAGCTGCAGAATGTCAAGTTGCCATGCCAAAGCTGTTTCTTCACTTTCTGTGGTTTGTTTAACTTTGCCAACTGGTCAATGCAGTTTATCGAAGAGATATCACAAGACTCCAGCATGCGTTGAAGTATGCAATTACTTGGCTATTTTCTCATATTACAAGATTTGTCTCAATAAGTGCCTGCCTATTGTAAAAGAATAGCAAAATGTCTTTAAATCAGATCTGGTAAATATAATTCTTGTTGAGTGATGAATATGATTATACCTGCATGTCTCTGAGTTTGGTTACTAAAACACAGTTCAAAACATGTTTTATTACTCAGTAGCCTAAAGTGAACAACTAACTGCCTACTTTGTTTTACACAAGCCTTAGTTTCTCAGTTTTAAAGAAACTTGTCTGTTTATTTCATTTCATTATTTGTTTCATGCATTTGAGGCTGGTATTAACCAATCCAAGTTTTACTGACTTTGGAGGAACCAAACTGATTTACAGCAACTGGGGTTCAGCCCCTTTAGGGTATATGCTTAACTTAATCTATGAGAGAAATCACAAGATTTTTCCAGACACTGTTTTGATAGCAAATACAAATTATTATCTCATCTTTATGGCTAGGTACAAACAGTCAAAAAGCCCAAGGCTGAATCGATTCAGACTTTGCAGGTTAGTTGTAAAATGCATAGATTAAATTGAACTTAAAGGGAACAGACATTTACCTTTGTTTTGGGAAATGCGGCCACATGCCTACAGTGGCCCAGGCCAGAGCACCACTCTCTGGCTGTGTGTTCACTTCCTCTTCCTGCTACCCCTGAGATCTCTGGGATTTGCAGTCCAGAATTACAGCCGCAGGACTGTGCAGGGTTGATCATCAAATCCTCTTGGATTTGTTGTCCACAGTTGTAACCAGCAGTAAGTTTGAGTGAGAGAAGGGGTATTTAACCCCCCTTCCTGGCCCCAGCCCCCAGCCTCCAGCTGGGGTTTGCTGGGGGAGGGGGGGCAGTCCTTTAACTTTGCTTAAAATATTTTCAACAAAGATTTTGACAAGGTCTAGATTTCCAGTGTAATGGCTTATACTTCAGATTTGATTTTCTCATGTACAATGGTTTACTTGAAGAGCAACATTATTAAAGTGCACGCCAGTATATTGACTTAAAGGAGAGGAAAACAGTTTCACAGATTTTGAATGCAGATTCTCAGTCAGATTCTCAGCTAGGTAAATCAATGTAGTTCCATTAACTAGAATTCCCTTTGACTCTAATGAAGTTATTTTGAGTTACCCTGGCTGAGGACATGACCCCATAGATTTATTTGGTCAATGAGACCTAATACATCAAACCAGTCAAAAAATGTCATTCTTGTCTGAAAAAACTGGATAGAGGTGAGACAGTTACAGTAAGTTGCAGTATACCAAATGTATAGCACTTTGCTTCTTGATCTTGTCTATTTTGAGAATTTCTGGTTTGCTTGAAGATCAATGGTTTGTTTTACCTCTTATCTTTCACTTTTAAACTGAAGAAGTCAACAGGCCTATCGTAACAGGATGCCAGGATCTTCTTAGAGCTCATGGACCTGACTGAATTTCTGATTCCATTTTATGTTCAGTTCCAAGTTCTGTGTGGCAAAAATAGATAAAGATGCATATGAGTGGGAGTGAAGAGATGCAGTTAACTTGATGGTACATTTGGTATAGAAATAAAAAAAGATTAAGTAAAGCAACATTTATTAATGACACATAAATGCAGATGCAAATTAGAACAAGAAATCATATGCAATTTAGGAGTTAAATGGAATAGATCTTTCTTTTCTGATCATAGACCCATTTCTTTGGTACTATTTTTGTGTGTCTTTTTTACTTTTAAAAGCACTATGAACAATTCAATTAACCATTGTCAGTAGAAATGATCACAGGGTTCGAGTCTGATCTTGTACCACTCTCATAATTGTGTACTTCTATTCACCTTTCAGAGTCACAGCAGATTTGTACCAGCATAATTTTGACTACAATCAAGTATACTGATCTTGATCTCTGCACTGGGTTCCATGATCTAACAGTAATATTGATTACTGAAAGAACTGACATGGTGCTTGGAGCTGTACATGACATAAAAAAGAGGAAAAAAGAAGAATGCATTGGGAGAAACAAAAGAATGGAGATAACAACAAAGTCTGGGTAGATCAATGATAACAACACATTCATATAGGAAAACATCTGAAGGCTTCACAAGATAAGGAAGGCTGCAACAGGGAAGTGCTTTGTTATTTATGCTACATAGCAGAACAGCAGCTGGGAGCTGTGGATTCTGGGAAATGGCTGGGCCTTTAAGGAGCTATTGCAATATAAAAATTAACTGGATAAGTAGGTCATTATAGACCCAGGGTCAGACCTAGCAGAAGAAATGACATAGCTTTCAGTTTCTCAATGCTGTTAATGTAACATTTAGTTTACTCATTCTTGTCTGCACAAAGTAATGGTTGTATGTATATTGCCTAGCATAAGAGAAGCCTTATGGGAATACACTAAGTAGTCCATGTGTCCCTTATAAACACAAGTAAAGATTATGAAACTAATTGGTCATCTGCTTTCTGTCTCTCTTAACTTTAAGTGTGATTGGCTAAACTAGCGCTCAGGAAGCACTTTAGTGGGCGCATCTACACAAGAAGCTAAATGTGCAGTAGACTAATTCTACTGCGTATTAGCATGTCACAGCAGAAGCCGTGCTAACGTACTAATGTTCAATTGAATTAATCTACTGCACATTAGCATCATGAAAAGACCATGCACCAGAGCTACTGTGCAGTAGCACCAGTTACTGTGCATTCAGTTAGTACTTATCACAGATACTAAACTTAACACGCAGTAACAATGGCACATTAATGAACATGTAGACATGCCCAGTGTCCAATAAAATTTGTGTAATGTTAAACACATCTATAGTTCTCTCTACTTGAAGCTTTAGTCTATTTTAAAATATTATATAAAACCTCATTAATAAACACTTCACTAATCCCCACAAAAAACTGTCTGGCCCTTCACACTTCTTCCCAACTTAATTACTAGGGGCTGCAATGATCGCTTATATTGCCAGAACTTAATTTTTTAAAAAAAAATATAACAGCACATTTACTAATACATTAAGAAGTATCATCAAAACTATTAAAAATGAATAATACACCTATAATTTTCCTTCCACTATTGTTGTGTTCATCCACGTTTTGTTAATCTACAAAATTCATCAATGGGTCTCTCTAGCATATGTGAACAGAACAGTAAGATTCTATTCCATTTAAATGAAAAGGGACCTGAGAACCTTGTCTTTAACTGGAGCTTTTGGTTGGTCATTACAATGAAGTGTTTTAAAAGAATGACTTTTCACTTGTATGAGAATGAGAATTCCATCTGTTTACTGTATCCAATGCAAGGTATCAAAGAGGGCAAGAAAGACATGAATCCACTTCCAATTGCACTACACAGCATTAATCTAGCATTACTTGAATTACCAGTAGGCCAAATGCTGCATTCAGTAATGCTGTTGTGAATGCACTGAAGAGTAGAATTTGATCTGTTTTTTCCTGTATCCCTGGGAACTCTGTTTTAATGTATAGCTGTATTCCTCTGTATACCTCTGTGTTACTCTGAATATTCAGTAAAATTAATTGAGTTTAACAGGAATTAAACTTGAGTTACAACTCCATAAATTGGGTCTTCTTTCTTAACCCATATAACTGAAAGAGAAGACCAAGAACTGTTGAAGGAAGTAGGTGACTGGAGATTTTGAAGATGCTTTATTTATTACTTGAATTGTGTTGCTGCACTTTATTTGTGTAGGGCCTAGGTTATATCTTCAGCTTGCATTTTGGATGTCTGGTCCCTGCAATTAAATACATTTTGTGTTTATGCAAATGTATATAAATTCAATGCTACCAAGAAATTCAGAAATTACTATCAACAAACTGACATTTCTTTCTGTGTTGAGAGATACCAAAAAAGTTCTAGGCAAAGTGACGATTTCTGCCTGGAAATACTGATCTAAATAAGAAATAATGGAGGGGTACAGGAATTTTAAGTGGAGACAGTGAAGCTATTTCTTAATTTACAGTGATGTAACTGAGAGCAGACTTTGATCGAAAGAGAACAAGGGTGTGGATTTAGAAAATTCAATCTAATTTTCTCAAGCAGCATGTGCTCCACAGACAACTGCAATAGCATATAGATTGGCAAACAATGTACTGTTGGAGAAGGGAATGTCCCAGGGCAGTACACAATAACAAATTTCTAGTGTGCAGATTAATAAGGACAAGCATTTAACAAAGCTGATGCAGAGAACTGGAATGATTTTTACATGGTGGTAAGTGACTGCAGTAAAGAGACATTGATGGAATTTGGAACATGGAACAAGGGCAGAGTGTGCCTCCTGCTGTGAGAGTGCCTCAGGCTGTACACAAAATATGGGGCTTTAATCTCTCTTGCATTGCTCAGAACAGAGGCCATAATCAGTACCAGATAAAGGGGCATTTTAATATTTATTTATGTTCTGGATAACAGAGAAATACACGCAGTCATTTGCATAAAATATCAGAAATTTATTTTTTGGTTGTGTGTCAAAGTATTGAAGGAAAAGGTGTCCCACTGATTTACTCAAAGGTAGTATAGACAGTTATAAAATACTTTTTTGATCAACTGTTTGTGGTGACTACTAGTTTTCTTGTTTGAGGTTACATCCTAGATAGAACCCTGCAATGACACATCCAGCTAACTATCATTACACTATATACCTAGAGTATTTGTGCTCAGCTTTCCTTTTTACATAGGGCCACTTCAAGCACAAGCATCTTTGCAAGTTATCTTGAAAGTGAAAATTAGTGCAGGATATTGCTGCTCAACTACTAAATAGAGCTAGCAACATAGACAACTAATCTCTGAAGTTTGCATTTGTTTACAGTTTTGATCTCGGTGATATATAAAGGCCAAAAAAAACAGAGTAAGAAACTGGCTTTCTCCAAAAAGTCTCCATGATGAAGGTCAGTTTGGGCACATGAACTAATACTTTTTAAATCTGGGAGCAGGAGAAAGGGTATTCTTAGTCCTTTAACCTTAACATTAACATCCTCTGTGGGCACATTTACATGTGTATTATTAATGCACCTTAATGTTAATCTAGTACATCCATTGTGAGGTACTAGGCAAATGCTCATTAACTTGTCTTAATGTGCATTAACTAAAGAGCATGTTTTTTAAATTATGTTTAATAGGGCTGTGCGAAACACCATCATTTTGTTTTGACATCCATTTCACCATTTCAAAGGGACAGTGTTTCATTTCATTTAGTTTTGAAGCACTGTCCCATTTTGTTTAGTTGAAACTGTTCAGCTGGTTCAACTCGTTTAGACGTTTCACCCACAGGCTATAGTGGAGAATCATGAAAATGCCTAAAACATCGTCATTTCTTGCCTAATTCTGATGCAAATGGCAGGAATGGTAGCCCCTCCTGAGGGCATGAAGCCTGCCAAGTTTCAAGGAGAGTGGTACAGAGGTTTCTCAGAAACTGCACCTCAAAGTCTTGAAAGCAAATTTGCCAGCAGCATCAGCCTTCTGTCTCACCTCTGGCACGCAGATCGGGGGCTCGCAGCCCCGGGAGGGCTGTGAAGCTGTGTCAGACTCCTCCCAGGGGTGTGGGCCCCTGGATCTGTGCCAGATAACAGGAGGCTGCCACTGCCACCTGGGACCACAGCTGGGCACAGCCTGTACCCAGCACC